AATATAGCTTACCTTACAGAGCAGCAGAGTAAGAAAAAGTAAAGTAAAAGTAAGAGTACGATACTCAAATACCCTGTAGTAACATTACATAACATTACCTGCGAGCTAGCTCTCATTTGACTATGAAGCTTCAAACTCAATTCCGAACTATTTCAGTTTGTAGTGAAATAGAAAGAGAATGTTAGAAAGTTGACACACATATACCCTGTAATTCTCCGAAATTCTCATAGATTATGGAATTTGATATATTGTCAAGTGAACGACGTATACATGGCCTGTACTCATATAAGAGGTGGCATATCTACGTAGTTATCTAAAATTTTCTAGATTCTTTATTTTAATCAGATGATCGACTTTGAGATACTCTGTAGGATTAGCTCTGCAATTACTGCTTTATTGCTTCATGTTATCTAAGCTAGTATGCCATTATTATACCCTATGTGCACTGCACTGCACTAGAGCAGCTCCGTCTAGACGTGTCGACTTCGTAAATATTGTCTATGATAACAGAGTATCTAAATTGTTTCGGATTATTCCGCTCTAATCAGTTGGCTTTATTTTGCATTCTGCTTTTCACTGGAATTTCTTATCGTATTATAGAGAAAGAGTTTCTGTCTATTCTTATTCTTCTTCTTCTTACATTATGTAAATATATTTTCTTATCAGCTGGGCTTCCGGAATACTTTCCTGGTATTTAGAATTTATCTTGTTTTTTTTCAATTTATCGACATTTTATGTTCGTTCTCTCCTCAAATTATAAATATTTTTACAAGTGGCTTGTAACATCTTTGTAAATTTAACTGAATTCTTCGACATAGTAGAAAAGGTGTTCAACTTATTGACTTTATCTTCCGTATTCATTGAAAGTGCTCTTCTGTCACATTTTAAAAATCTTCTTAGCAGAAAGTTCGACAGAAAAAACTTTAAAAACTTTATCTTCCACTTTCAATGAAAGCCCTCTTCTGGCATACTTCAAGGATCTATTGTATGTTCCTTGTAACTATGACTTCTAACACTTCTTGCACCGTTTCTTTGAATATTCTTCAGCTTGTTCTATGATGCACTCGCAAAAGTCTTTTCCTATATTCAAAGTTTTCTGAACGTTTTTTATCCTCCTTGTAAAACTGCTGTTAAAGTTCATTGCAACTTTCCAGCATAAGCTGGCATTTTCAATTGTGAATTTTCATTCACACGCTCTTAACTCTCTTGCAGCTAGCCAGTTCCAACAGGGCTGGGCGTGGGCCAACAATGTGAATCTGCTGGCAGCTGGCGCGAGCTTGCCCCACGGCGGCATCAGTGGGAGTGGCATCTATGCAGGGCGTCGCGGCGCCCTTGTGCGGCGCATGGTGGGCGACACGCACGTTGGACAGCGGCAGCTGTTGCTGGCACGTGTGCCACGCTATTCCCAGTCGCTGCAGGAGCAGGAGTCGGAGCAGGAGCCGGAGGCAGAGCTGGAGCTGGAGCTGGAGTTGGATGAGGAGCGTGCGGGGCCAGCGCAGAGGCAGCTGGTGATGCTGCAGCAGCCGCAGCTCGAGGACTTTGCCAGCTGGCTAGTGCCGCTGCTCAATGGCAGCAGGCAGCATCAGCGCCTCTGTCAGCAGGATCTCTGCTGCGACTTCGAGCTGCAGCTGGAGCTGCCCAGTGATGCAGCACAGCCGCCGGAGTACAGCTATCGAGCGGGCGTCTTTGTGGGCCAGCGGCGCTACGAGGAGGAACAGTATAGCGTGGTCAGACTCTGCGGTCTATTTGCGTGCCGCAACGAGAGCATTCTCAGTTGCGGCCAGCTGGCAGCGGCGCCGGCAGAGGAGCCAGCGGCGGGCAGTCGGAGCATAACGTTCAGCTGGCTGCGAATTCGCGGAGAATTCGTGCGGCGACAGCGACGGCTGCTCATGCCCAGCACGCTAAGCGCGGCGCTCTACGCCCTGCAGGCCACCGAATTCGAGTGGGCGTGGCAAGACGACACCGACATCGAGACCGCCGCTACACATGTGGAGCTGGGGCTGAGCAAGAGCCACTCAGAGCTGCTGACCTTTGGCATCTATGGCAACTACTTTGATGAGTTTGCCGACGACGACAAACCGGGAGGTGGCGAGGGGGGAGGCGGAGACGGGGCCAGGGGCGTGCTTGTGGCTAAGCGAGGGCAACAGCTGTTGATGGTGCTGTTGTTGCTGCTCCTGTCTTATCACGGGGGCTAACCGCTAAACAAACACTTTGCTGATTAGTTCTAATTGGAAGTGCGGGCACAGGCGACAAAAGCGTCGCAATTGTGTATGAATTGGAGAGAGGGCTCAGAGTGAGAGGAATCTATCTTTCTTATTCTTATTATTATTTTATTTTATTTCATTTTTTTTGGATAGTAATAAGATTTTTTATTTTTGTATGATATACGTATATAAATATGCAGATGATATTACATATAAAGAAACCAATTTTATTGCTTTTTCAATCTGTTGTAAATTGGAGTTCGGGGTGTCTGTACAGACTGACGAAGGTGAGAGAGGGCTCATAAAGTGTATATTTTTATGTGTCCACATATATTGGCATGATCAAGTCTCACTGTCTCGCTCTCTCTCTGAATGCATCTATCTCGGAACCTATGGACTAGCAGCTAAAGAATTGATTCGCTATAAGGGGTCTAACCCAAGCACGCGTTGATTAAGTTTGTTGCAAATAAGTACTAAGTTTTTTGTGTTAAATTGATAAGGAAATTTATGGCATTATACATAGGTATTAAATCATATCGCCTTCATATATATTGCTAGTATGGTCTAAATTTGTATATAGTTGTTATTGGATTTGTACATTTTTTATACAGACATAAAATATCACAATATCCAATAAATACTAGCAATTAAATACCAGATACAAAACTATAAATACGTGAAATGTGTGTGGAATGATTTATATTCCATAGAAAATTTAGATCATATGCTGAAAATTTCATTGAAATCGGTCAAGTAACACAGAAGTTATGAAAGAAAACGTATTGCAAAATCGCACGGAAAGAAACGCCAAGCGCTTCATTCATGTGCACATGCATACGTACATACATACACACAAACAAACTCGTGCAATCTTTTACGAACGCTATAAATAGAATAAGAAATGCGATTGAATTGTGCTTCAATGCTTTTCGGCTTGGGCACGAGCAGGTAATGCGTACGATCTCGCGTGCGTAGACCGACGAAAACAACTTTAGTTATTTCAATAGTCTGCTATCCTTAATTGTTTGTAAGATTTGCTTTATACTTAATTTAATTCAATATCAATAGGCTCAAAATACTCAATTAGTATTTTTCGGCAGGCTGCATAGATATTGCGTGTAAATCAGGCGCCTGCTTGAGCAAAACGTTTCTGTTACGTTTGTCGCCTGGCTGAGCTCATTAAAAGCGACATTGGCGTCGAGCCCGTTGCAATGCTTGCATGTTTGTGCATGTGTGAGTGTGTGTGTGTGCATATAAAGAAGCTGCGGTTTGCTCTTGTTGTTGTTGTTGCTGGTAAGCTTGCAGCGAATTGTAATTAAGTGAAACACCCACATACACACGCACACGGAGAGTGAGAGAGAGACATGCATGCACATGCCAAATAACGGTAACGGACCAATTGACGTTAAATGCATGCAGTTAGATCGTAGGCGACGGCAATATCGAGAACAGTGTCAAGTTCATGTCATTAAGGTGTGATTAACAAAAATTAGTTGCTGCTTAACACACACACACACACACACACTCACACGCACGCAGAGATGAGCAAACACACACACACACACATACGCATGATAGCGCAACAGTGCGAATAACTGCTTATGCGTGTGCCTGGAAAGCAGACACTCACACAGACACGCCGAGCAGGTGTATTAGAGACGCGCAACACATGAAGTCGAGCAGCGCTGCCAGCGTCGCAGCTGACGTCGCTGCCGTCGAAAACGTTTCATTCATTTCAACTGTTGCTCCCCACTTGTTAGCACAAATGAGACTGGAAAGCGCTGGCACGAGGCGGCCGACGCGCTAGCCGAACGCCGCATGCCGAGAGCCGAGAGCCGAACGGCGAGTGCCGACTCGGCCGAGTGCCAAAGCATTCCAGGAGGCACTTTTGGAGAGCGTCCACCTGAAGCAGAAGGTCGTGCTCGGTGCGTGTTTCGGTGTAGACTTTTTGGGCGCCATAAACACACACACACACACCCACACACATATGCACACACTGGCCGAGACATGTGCACGTGTGTGCGCTGTGTAGACTGCGTTATATTTGCATTAAATTATTCAGCAGGAAAATATTTTATGAAGCGCAGACAAGCAGCAACAAACCAAAAGGCTGCTGCGCTTTTTGCCAACTGAAATGCAATTAAAAAGCGCAGCAGCAGCAGCAACAGCAGCAGCAACAGCAGCAGCAGCAGCAGCAGCAGTGGCAGCAGCAGCGAGAACGACGCATATCGTGCGCTCTTCGGCTAACGCTACTCGCTGCCACGGCCGCTGCCGTTGCCGCTGTCGCTGCCACAGTCGGCGTCGCTGCCAATGCTCACGCGTTGCGTTGCGTGGCGCGCAACGTCGTCGTCGCATTCAGCGACTGCCTTCGACCAGTAGGCGTTCAGCCTCCGAGCGGATAACATTGCGTTGTTGTTACTTCTTGGAGACAGCCAATCAGAAGCGCTCAATACTCAAACTGACTCAAATACCGTTCAACTGGCGATTGAGTTCGATTTCGAGTTCCGTTACTTGAAGTCGTGCGTTCAAAACGAAACAAAGAGTCCAAGTAAAACGTTTTCTTGCGCCTGATCCTAACTGTGTGTGTGTGTGTGAGTGTATGGAGCAAAGATTCTAGAAAATATTTGAAAAATCCAAATTGGAAATTTTTCGAAAATCGTTAAAGGCGCGCCAAAAATAAGGAATTTCTTTTGCTTGCCATTTGAAAAACTCAAAGAAAATTCTTTCCGTTGTTTTTTTTTGTTGGCTTTTTTTTTGGGTTGTTGTTGATATAAAATAAATAAATACTAAAAGTTGAAAAGTTTGTATATTAAACAAATATACACACATATATCGAAATATATATACATAAATTATTTTGTGTGTGCGAGCGAGAAGGCAATAGACAAAAGTGCAAAGAGAGCCAAAATAAAGGTAAATTCTTGAAATGAAAAAATTTTAAAAATATGTATAATTTTTTTTAAACAAATTTTCAGATGCATTTTTGAGTGAATTAAAAATTTTTTTTTGTGATTTGAGCTACAACTTCTTTTTCTAATACCTTTAAGACGTTACATATAGAGCTGAAGGTCAGTGTTGTGAAGTGTGTTTAAAGTTGTAAGAGTTTTGTGAAACATTTCCAGTTTATATGCAATTTGTGTGAATATATGAAAATATAAATACTGAAAAAAGTATATTAAAATATGAATATATTGAAATAATTTCAACTTCAAAAACTTTTAAAACTATTTAAAAAAAATTTTTTTTTGTTAGTTTTATTTCTAAATATTCAACATTCTCAGTTTTTGTTGACTATTCTAACAATTTAATGTCTTAGTTTACGATTCGTTTTTGACCTTGAGCTACATTTGTGTTTGTTCTCGTTTTCGAACTTCGAAAATAGTTTCGAAAACCCTACGAACTTCTCGAAATCAATAAGTTTTAAGCTGCAGCAAAAGTTCAAATCGCTTGAGTTAGTTCAAAATTTTGCACAATTTAAGCCTTTTCCTAAACGAAGGGCCATGGGAAGCTATGAAATTGTGGGAAAACCACAAATGCGAAAACTTAAACAACTGAACTAAAAAACTTGTAGAACAAAAACTTTGTAAGCTATGGACTCGAGTTACTTTTCTGAAGATGTGGTTGGAGTCTGTGTGCGGAACTCGAGCCCTGGTATAGTGTCTCAATGGAGTATTTCTGGGAAGAGCTTGAAAGTTAATGCAGATATATGTGAGGTATATGAGTGTATACCTAACTAATGGAAGCATTAAGAATGTGTATTAGTGTTGTCGTAACTTTTTAGATTCTTAGAGTTTAGAAAGCAGGTGTGGGAAAGCGGAAGATCTAGAGTACCTCTAGTATTAGTTAGGGGTTTGTAATTTATAGCATATCAATTATGCTGATTGACGGCATTCTCTGTATTCTCTGCTTTATCTGCCAAAAGCGATCAAAGACCTTGAAGCAGTTGCTATATATCTTGTATATAGCTTCATATCTGAAGCTTAAAGCTGACCTTGCAATTGACTTTGAATATAACTTAAAAGATGTTGATAGCCAGAAATTGCAGTTTAATTGTAGTAACTCTATAACAAATTTAGGAATTGACAGAAAAGTTGGGAAAATGTGTGGAGCTGTATTGCAGATGGCAAAATTTGCTATTTGTCAAGCTCATTCACGAAATGGAAATGAGTTGATTAGTTTTTGCAATGTCTGTCTGGCTGTCCACCTAGGGCCCTGAAATTTTGAGCATATACTTGGGTTGCATAGCGCATATACGCCTCGAATTACAGAGTATGAAGATTTTCCCGACTCCCGTGTGTGCACACATATTATTGGGGGCGTGGCAAGTTGAAAAATTGTCCCGAATGTAATGAACTAAGTTCACAAAACTCTAGACTCGTCCGTATCAAAGAATTTATCTAATGAAAATCAAACAAACAACTTTTGATGCGAATATGAAAGCAAATTCTTAAGTTTTAAGAAATTTGGAAGGATATTGAAAGATAATATCGAAGTTTTAGGAATAGTAGTGAAGGTATTAAAGAAACGCAAGAGCTGCGAATGTAATTCTAATATCTAATGAAATCGATTTAAATGTTGTCGTCATGATTCGGCATGGGATCAATTTGTTATGAATTGAAATATGATTTATCTATTCAATAAATATATCGATATACAAATATTTATATATTTTTTTGTGCCACTTTTTTTCTTTTAGCAGAGTCTTAAAACTCTAAATTTTACGCTTAATGTAATTTCATATCGGGTTAACATCTCTTCTTCTTCAGCTTTTCCACCTCTTTTTTTCCTCGTCATTTTCTCTTCTTCGTTTGTTGTTTTTTTGTTGCTTTGTTAACCTTTTTATTTCGGGGGCATTTCCTGTTTCGCATTGCTTCAATTGCAGATTCGAAAGACTTCCGGCTTGTTTTTTGTGTTTTGTTGGTCAATTGAGGGGGTGGCGCCATCTGTTGCTCGAGCAGAGAGTTTTTGTATTTAACATTAAATCGTTCTTGTTTTTCTTTTCTTTCGTGCGATTTCTCAATTGATTTTGGTGCACAGCCTGCGCTCAATCTTTCAAATAATTTATGTGCGTCTCGTTCATATCAAATCAATTTTTGGCTAACTGTGCGTATGATTAATATTTGCTAGTTGGCGGGAGAGAGACAGAGTGTGTGTGTGAAAGAGAGAGGGAGATTTGGACAGAGAAAGGGTAAGAAGACGATTGGAAATGCAGATGAAAACCCAAGCAGGCTAGCATCTGGCTAGTCGGGTATGCTCGACGACAAAATACCCTGTAAAAGTTACAAAATACTTGGTAGGCGTTCAAAAAGAGGGCGTGGCATCTATAGCTGAAACAACTATACAAAGTTCGGGTGTTTCACTCACAGTTGAGCTAATCCAATGCTGCAGCTAACCCGGCAGATCTCGTATAATGAGTATAATGAGAGCAAGACAAAAAAAAATATATATATGTATATATATATATATATATATATATTGAAAAGTCGAACAACGCGCGCTGCCTTAATTATTGGCCAAACGGCATTAAATTTTCAAGTATTTACTAAAGCTAAACAAAACACAATCACAACAGCAGCAAGAACAACAACAACAGCAACAACAAACAAACAACAATAACAAAAACAAAAACAACAAAATTGTGGAAAAAATTCCTTTTGTTCGATTTTTGCGATAATTCACTAAATTAACTCGAAACGGGCAATTGGTCCCGCCAGCTGCCACGCCCCTCTTCCGCCAATACCCCACTAGTTGATATACACACAGATGTATTTATATACATATACGTGTAGGCCAAGACGTGTGAATTTCGACCATGTGCCGCAGAAACTTTTCATTCATTTAGCAACGATCGCTCCAGACTGGGAAGAGAAATGGGCATGTATTGGGGGTGTATATCGATCACTTTATGGAGAGTAGTATATAAATACATATATGTTGGTATATAGTAGAGTAAACATGTATATGTATCTCATTCCATAACTGGATCGACATACAGCCGCATATATATATATATACTTTACTACATAATACATACTATATAGACCACTCTCCATAAGCCGATCTATATACACTCCCAATATATACTCATTGTTTATTACAATATATCTTTATTTACTACCAGGAATTTTGCATGCTACTTTGCTCAGTTTCGACCTTCATATATCTACATATATCTATATGTGTATAGATATATATCATATCAAAATAATTACTATATCTGTGTCTGATCCAAAAATATTGTCTCATTTATTTCTTATATCAAAATGTCTCTTCTGTTCATATTCCTATGACAAGCAAGCGTTCAGTTTCTAAATATATTGTGATCTTGAGTTTCTATTATATTGTCAATATTCGTATACTAATTAGTATTCGAAATACTTTCTGCTGAAATACAATAAATTCTGAATTTCACTGATGAGCTCTACTTATTTTCTATCTCTTTCGCTCCTTCTCTCGCAGTAGGCTTAGTCTGTTTCATGATATATTTACCATATCTCATATCTCATTGAAATGTTGATCTGAAAATATGAAGATCTATTTCCCTTTCAATGATAAATATACTAGACAAATCTAATGTATATTATCTCTATCTATCATTCGTACACTCTACTCTATATTGCTCATACTTTATGTACATCTATCAAATAATGATTAACAATTGATCTACAAATTAAATGAATATTGAGTATAATAGACAGTTCATTGTTTATATATTGATAGATCAATAAAGTTGATATCTATTTATATGCCTGTCTATTATGAACTATTTAACACTCAATAAAATTCTGTATAAACAAATTATTAATCACAAATTCCGCTAGAAATTGAACTCTCTGAAAAATGTGATTCAACTTCGTGAACCCAATTTCTTCATAGAGTATACCTGGCATACATATATTTATACATATATAGATCGATGGATAGAGAAAACAAATCTAGTTGAACTTTGATAAACTCAAGATGAACTAATTTTGTGGAATTTACGCGCAGAACCAAACATATGTATATATAGATCGATGTGTATATGAAAAGAGAGAGAGAGAGAGAGATACGATTTATACAAATAATTGTATTGTTATAGAATTTGAATTTGATTTTGAATTTGGTTAGCAAATTTACATAAACAATTCAATTGTTGTTGTTTGTTTAAATTAACTTTAAGACTTAACCAAAAATATATATGTATGTATATTCGATATCGATTCATATATGTATATCGATATGTACATATATCTTTTTACATACATATATGTATCTAAGAGGCAAGCGAAATTTTCAGCAGACAAATTGAATTAACGGTAAATGTAAAACGCACAGCGAAAACAAAAGCCAAAATCGTGCAAATATATATATATACATATATATCGTATATGTCGATATCGAGGCGTATATGTAAACAGAGTCGAGCCAAAGGTAACAAATGGATTTTCAAATAAATTAACTAGCAGACAATTGTAAACAGAGAGCGAAAGACAGAGAGAAAGCGAAAGAAGCAGAGAGAGAGAGAGAGAGAGAGAGAGAGAGAGAGAGAGGAAGTGCATTGCACTGGTTATAGCTGGTTATGCGCGGGCTGCTTCCATCATTTGCCATAATGCGACAACTCAAGACCTACGTCTCGCTTAGTTCTTCTTAGTTCGCCGAAAAGCTCTTTCGGAAAGCTCAAAAGCTTTAAACAGAGTTGGGAATTGAAGAATCTAAAACTCTAAATGAAACGACTTTTTCTCTCTTTCTATCTCTCTCTCTTTCTCTCTCTCTCTCTGTGTTTCTCCTATGTCTCTTTATCTCATTCTCTATCTCTTTTTCAATCCCCCCTCTCTCTTCCCTTTGTCTTATTCTTCTGGTCTCCTCCATAATCTCACCTTCGCCTTAATTCACGCTCTCTCTCTCCCTCCCTCATGACGATCCTCAATCTT